GGGGAACAGTGTTACAGGCAGAGGGAATACTAAGTTCAAATGCCCTTAGGTGGTGATGAGTATGGTGGGTTTGAAGACAAGTAAGAAAGCCAGTGTGGTTCAAGTGTAGTGAACAGGTGGGGGACAGTGGGAGGAGATTAGTCTTGGGAGAGATGGTCAAGGGGCAAGCTGTATGGAACCTTGTGGAACAAGGATATTTTTCTAACTGCAAGGACAATCTATTTAGGGTTTTAAGCAGGGGAAAGACATGATCTGCTTTATATTTTTGTAAGATCTATCTGCTGGGTGAGTGGATTAGAGGTGGCAAGACCAGGCACAAAGACTATTGCAACAGTTCAGGTGGGAAAAGATAATGCCTAATGAGCAGGGAGATGGGGAAGAGTAGACTGAAGATCTATTTTGGAAGCAGAGCAACAGGACTTGCTAGTGGATTGTATATGGGGGCTAGTGATGGAAAGAAAGGAATTAAGCATGGCCTCTAGGTTTTCCGCTTTAGTGACTGAGAGGAAAAGGTGACTTTTTTCTGATAATTCAAAGAAGAGGGTGGGGAGAAGCAGTTAGGTGGGGGTGGTGGCCGGCAGTCAAAAGTTCTGATTTAGAAATGTTAGATCTGAGCTGCCTCGCAGACATCTACATCTTAAAAGTCTACTTTGAAGCAGAGGCTTTACAAAGGAGTCCTCTTAGGAATGCAATAGTTAAAGACAGAAGAAAAAGGAGAAATGCTTAACAACCCCCCAATAACAATCTCCACAATGCTATGTCTCCTGCAGCCTCTCTTCTTAAGTAGACAGAGATAACTCTTCCAATGTAATCTCCCTGATCAAGAGAAGAATTGAGAACACACATGTTTAAGACCTTTGGTATGGGTTTCCTTAATCCCCTCTTCACCTTTTTGATCAGTCCAAATGCTTACATCGCAGAAAAATCTAAGCAAACAGAGGTGACTTTGTAGAGAAATGAATTATGGGGAAGTCTGCTAGGATTACCAAGCTTAATAGAAGAGAAAAGAACTGTCCTCAAAAAAGTATAAAATACCAGAATGATACAGGGAACAAACCAAAAAAAAAAAACCAGAAAAAAAAAACCAAACAAACCCCAAACCTAGGGTTATGTTTTCATTTTAATAAAGTAGAAATATGTAGGCAGGAAATTGTTTAAAAAATTTTTTCACTTGCTGAAGCTGTTCAAATAAAATCTACATACTTTAAATTATAAATTGAACAGAAAGGATTTTGTGCCTCTCTAAATTTGGGATCTAAGTCTTATACTGTTGATGTGGGTAGAAGCTGTGAGTGCTACAATGTGCCAGGTTTGAGATTTCACAGGCCTGCCATAAAGGGTCTTGAGGTGGTATTAAGGCAAGGCGAATTTGATACTGATCTACCCATGATACTCTAGTTCTGGGAAAACATGATATTTTTCTTAGAATCTCTTAGTTTCTGGGTATGTTGCTAAGAGTGTGTTACAGCACACTCCATTCAGGCAAATGGATTGCGTCTCTCATTTCCCCCTACTCCCCATGGCCAAGTTCTGACTTAATACGCACTTGAGTAGGGGCTCTCCACTGGGTGACCCACTTGGGCTTTTAGCTTTCTTCCTCCTTCCCTTGGCAGGTGAAAAGCTGCAGAGTGAGTGGATGATCAGGCTGGCAGGCACTTGACTTTGACGGGCTGGTCTACAAAGATCTTCAGAGTTTCTCTAGAGTCTCATCTCAGTGTGACATATACAGATTATATAAGTAGTGTTTTTTAAAATTGTGAGAGGTGACCCACTAATGTGTCATGAAATGGATTTAGTAGTATTGACCAAGAATTAAAGAGTAAAATAAGATAAATAGAATAAAAATATCAGTCTGCGTTATTCACAGTAGGGTTAAGGACTGTTTCATGAAACTTCATTTGTAGAGAAATCTCTATGTCCTGGGGTATGATGTATAATGTATTTTTTACTCCAAGTTGTGGTTGAAAAGAAAGTTTGAGAAACTGCCCTAGAGAGTAGGGGCTGAGAATGTGGCTTCTGCAGTTAGAAGGCTCATAGAGAAGAATTTCAGCTCCATAATTATCAGCTGCCTGACCATGGGCAAGTTTCATAACCTCTTTGGCCCTCAGATTCCTCACCCATAAAGTAAGGATAAAGACAGTTCCTGACTCAAAGGGTTATGTTTGTTGAGAGGATTAAAGCCTTGACTACAAAGTCTGACACACAATAAGAATCCAGTAAGTAGCAATTGTTATGACTCTCTATGAAAGTTGGTTACTAATTTGTTGTAAGTGTGTGTGGCAGGACAGTTGTAATTAAAATGAGTCCTATGGGCCTGTTTTCAGTGTAGAAAATGGAGGTCCGGTTGAGTTCTCCTTATGCCCCCATATTCACTATTGATCTTCTACCTGGAAGGGTATCTGACACCTTATTTTGATGCACTAGTTTGAAAATCAAGATTCACACAATAGGAACACAATTCTTAAGATTTTTAGAATAGTACAAATTGTACTTTGGTTTCTATTTCCCTTTTCTGAAGGAATAAAATTGAGAGTAATAGATGCAGTGATTGCATAGGCTTGCGCCCTCCCCAAGGCCTCCTGGTATAGGAAGCACATGGCTGTGCCCTTCTTGCTCTTTGTAGGGTCTCTCTATTTGTTAAAGTCAGCCTTCTGCCACTAGGAATTAATTTCTTTCCTTCAGGCTGTGCTTCTAGTAAACTCATTCACACTAAGCTGTTCTGGGGGTGCTTAACATGATTATTAGCAATTTATTGAGGGATAGCCTTTTTATTGTAATGGTTGTATTTATTTTTTAAAACAGGTTTATTAAAGCATAATTTACATACTGTGAGTTCATTCATTTTTAAGCACAATTTAGTGATTCTTGATGAACAGTTCAATGATTGCTGAATTTATAGAGTTGACTAACCATCACCACTATCTAGTTTTAGAATATTTCCATTACACCCAAAACATCCCTCATGCCCTTCCACCTCCAGCTCCAGGCAACCATTAATCTGCTTTCTGTATTTACAGATTTGCCTTTTCTGGCAACTTCATCAGAATGAAATCATACAGTATGTGTGGTCTTTTGGGTCTGGTTTCTCTCATGTAGCATAATGTCTTTTGAAATTCAGCCACACCGTAGCCTGTATAAGTACTTCATCACTTTTTATTGCCTGATGGGGTTCTAGTGTATGGATATACATTTGTTTCTCCATTCCCAGTTGATGGATATTTGTTTCCTCTTCTTGTTTGTTATGAATAATGGTGCTATGAATATGCATGTACAAGTCATTGTATAGATGTTATGTTTTTGTTTCTCTTGGATAGATAACCAGGAGTGAAATTGATGCCATATCCTAAAATTATGTTCAGACTTTAAAAGAAATTGCCAAACTGCCTTCCAAAGTAGTTGCACCATTTTAAATTCCCACCAGCAAAATGAGAATCTAGTTTCTGTACATCCTTGCCAACACTTATTACTGTCTGTCTTTTTTTTTTCATTTATCTTAAAAAAATATTTATTTGAAGTGTAGTTGATTTACAATGTTAGTTTCAGGTAAACAGCAAGGTGATTCAGTTGTGAGTCTGTTTTTGGTTTATAAATAGAATTTCTATCATTTTTTTAGATTCTATATATAAGTGATATCATATGATATTTGTCTTTCTCTGACTCACTTCACTTAACCTGATAATCTCTAGGTCCATCCATGTTTTCACAAATGGAATTATTTCATTCTTTTTTATGGCTGAGTAATATTCCATTGTATATATATATACCACATCTTCTTTATCCATTCATCTGTCGATGGGCATTTAGGCTTTTTCCATGTTTCCCTGGCTATTATAAATAGTGCTGCTATGAACATTGAGGGGCATGTGTCTTTTTGAGAATCTAGCTTCTGTATATACTTGCCAACACTTATGACTGTCTTTTGTAATGATAGCCATTCTAGTGGGTGTGAAGCAGTTATAATTTATATTGTATAAATTGTATAATTTGTATAAATTGTAGTTATAATTTGAATTTCACTATTGAATAATGACATTGAGCAACTTTGCATATATTTATTATTTATTTCTGTATCTCTTTGCTAAAATGCCTATTCATATCTTTCACCAAAAATTTAACTGGGTTGTTTGTCTTATTGTTGTAAGAATTCTTTTTATATTCTGGATACAAATCTTTTATCAGATATATGATTTGCAAACATTTGCTCTCAGTTCTTGGCTTGTCTTTTAATTTTCTTAAAAGTACCTTTTGAAGAGCAAAGTTTTTAATTTTTATAAAATGCAACTTATCATTTTTCTTTTATTGATTGTACTTTTGATGCGGTATCTAAGAATTCTTTGCCTAACTCAAGGTCATAAAGATTTTCTCCTGTATTTTCTTCTGAAAATTTTATACCTTTAGCTCTTAAATTTAGGTCTATGATGCATTGTGAGTTAATTTGTGTGGATAATGTGAGGAAAGCATCTAAATGCATCTTTTTTCATGCAGATATCGAGTTGTCCCAATGCTATTTGTTGAAAAGATTTTTGTTTCTCTATAAAATTCTATTGACACATGCAGGTCTAAGAAATAATATAGATTGGTCCCTGGTACACTTTGCCTTGTTTTCGCCAATGGTAACATTTTACAAAACTACAGTATAATGGATATTAACATTGATATGATCCATAGCTCTTATTTAAATTTTCTTAGTTTTATTTATACTCATTTGTGTATGGAGGAGTGGAGTGGGGGGTGATGGGTTTATTAAGTCCTATACTATTTTACCACCTGTGTAGGTTGGTGTAAACACTACCACAGTTAAGATACTTCCAACACTGCACAGATCCTTCATATTGTCCTTTTATGAACCCTCCAACTTCCTTGCCAACACCACCCTTGCCCCTCCCTGACCCTTGGCAACCACTAATCTGACTTTTATTTCTAAAATTTTGTCGTTTCAATAGTGTTATATAAAGGGAACCATACATTATGTAACACTTTGTGATCAACTTTTTCACTTAAAAATTCTGGAACACTTTATGATTTTGCATTTCATCTTTGCACAGGGACCATGTTAATCTTCTGTCTCATTGCCATTTTCATGTATGTGCCATCAAAGTGCACATAACTCATTTATTTATTATTTATTTTAACATTTTAATTTAAGGATGGCTTCACTTAGCCAAACTTACTAATCTCAATTTTTTTCTTTTTATTGAAGTATAGTCAGTTTACAATGTTGTGTCAATTCCTATTGTACAACATAATAGTTCAGTCATAAATATACATACATATATTTGTTTTTATGTTCTTTTTCATTATAGGTTACTATAAGATATTGAATATAGTTCCCTGTACTATAATAAATCAATTTTAATGTAGGTACTGATGTATTTGTATCATATCTCAATTTTTATTTATTTTTTAGTCTCATACCTTCTTGTTCCCGTATTCCTCCTTTACTATTTTTTTGTATTAAATAATTTTTTTCTAATGTACCATTTAAATTCCTTTGTTTTTTCTTTTTAATATTTTTTGGAATGATTTCCTTAGTGGCTCTTCTGAAGGAATTCTAGTATACTTCTTAACTAAAAACAATCTATTTCAGATAATGCTAACTTAATTCCAGGAAAATATAGAACCTTTACTCCAATATAGCTCTATTCCCTCACCCTTCCTTTGTGATATTATTGTCACATATATTACTTCTTTATATGTTAAATTTCCCCAATTATACTTACTCTTTTATGTAATTCTCTTTTAAATATGTTAAGAGAAGAAAAGAGAAAAACTATCTTTATACTATCTCTTTTATTAAACTACATTACCTTTACTCACACTCTTTATTTTATTTTATTTTTCACACTCTTTATTTTTTATACTGTTTGTTTTCTGAGGAGGAGGTAAGTAGGTTTCTTCAGTGATTTCCGCTTGGAGGAGGTACTGGGGATTGAACCCAGGACCTCTTGGGTGCTGAGCATACACTCTACCACTTGAGCTAGACCCTTCCCAGATGCTCTTTATTTCTTTGTATGGATCTGAATTACTGTCTAGTGCCATTTCCTTTCAGCCTGAAGAATTTCCTTTAGTATTCTTTATAAGGAAAGTCATCTTTATATGGGAATGTCTTTATTTTGCTTTCATTTTTTAATCAATTTTTTGGGGGTTGGGTAGAGGTAATTAGGTTTATTTATTTATTTTTAATGGCAGTACTGGGGATTGAACCCAGGACCTCATACAATGCTAAGTACACACTCTACCACTGAGCTATACCCTCTCCCTTGCCTTCATTTTTGAAATATAGTTTTGCCGCACAGGCTATTTGGTTGACAGTTTTTATTTTCTTTTCAGTACTTTGAATATGTCACCCTACTCTTTTCTGGGCCTCTACCATTTCTGATGTTATACTATTGAGTCCTCTCCCATTGTATGTGATGGATTGTTTTTCTCTTGCTACTTTCAAGATTTTCTTTTTTTCTTTACCTTTCAACACTTGGACTATGAGGTATCTCAGTGTGGATGTCTTTGTGTTTTTTTCTACTTGGAGTTCATTGAGCTTACTGGATGTGTACATTAATGTTTTTGTTTAAGTTTGGGGTGTTTTTGGCCTTTATGTTTTCAAATATTTTTTCTGCCCCCTTTCCACTCTCTTCTCCTTCTTGGACTCCAAGTATGCTTATGTTGATACACTTAATGATGTCTCACAGCTCTGTCAGATTCTGCTAATACTTCTTCATTATGTTTTTTTTCTGTTCTTTTGATTGGACAATTTCTCTTGATTTACTTTGAAGTTTGCTGATTCTTTCTTCTGCCAGCTTAAACTGTCATTGAGTCCTTCTAGTGAATTTTTCATTTCAGTTATTGTACTTTTAAACTCCAGAATTTCAAAATGGCCCTTTTAAAATAATTTTTATCTCTTCATTGATATTCTGTATTTGATGAGTCATTACTGTTATTTTTCCTTTTAATTCTTTTAACATGGTTTCCTTTAGTTCTTTGAACATATTAATAATACCTGCTTTGAAGCCTTTGTCTGCTAAGTCTATCACCTGAGGTCTTTCAGAGACAGTTTCTATTGCCTGCCTTTTTTCTCATGTATGGATCACACTGTCCTGTTTTCGCTTTTGCTTTTTGCATGTCTCATAACTTTTTGTTGAAAACTGGACATTTTTGATAATGTATTGTAGTATCTATGGATTCTGATTCCCCTCTCCCCTGGATTTGTTGTTTTTGTTCTTTGTTCTTTTGTTGTTTATTTGTTTAATGACTTGTCTGGACTAACTCTATGGTCTCTCCCTAGTGGTGTGCAATCACTGATGTCTCTACTCAATTTTTTAGGAAAATAATTCTTTTAAAAAATTGAGGTATAATTAACATAAAATTATATTAATTTCAAGTGTACAATGTAGTGATTTGGTATTTGTATATATTGTGAAATGGTCATCACAATAACTCTAATTAACATGCATCACCATACATATTGGCACAAAAATAGACATATGGATCAATGGAACAGAATAGAGAATCCAGAAATAATTGATCAATTGATCTTTGACAAAGGAGGCAAGAATATACAATGGAGCAAAGACAGCCTCTTCAGCAAGCGGTGTTGGGAAAGCTGGACAGCCACGTGCAAATCAATGAAGTCAGAACACTCCCTCACACCATACACAAAAATAAACTCAAAATGGCTTAAAGACTTAAATATAAGTCAGGGCACCATAAATCTCCCAGAATAGAACATAGGCAAAACATTCTCTGACATAAATCACAGCAATGTTTTCCTAGGTCAGTCTACCAAGGCAATAGAAAATAAAAGCAAAAATAAACAAATGGGGCCTAATTAAACTTATAAGATTTTGCATAGCAAAGGAAACCATAAACAGAACGAAAAGACAACCTATGGACTGGGAGAAAATATTTGCAAATGTTAAGACCAACAAGGGCTTAACTTCCAGAAAATACAAACAGCTTATACAACTCAGTGACAAAAAAAAACCCAATCAAAAAATGGGCAGAAGACCTAAACAGACATTTCTCCAATGAAGGCATACAGATGGCCAACAGGCACATGAAAAGATGCTCAATATTGCTGATTATCGGAGAAATGCAAATCAAAAGTACAATAAGGTATCACCTCACATCAGTCAAAATGGCCATCATTAAAAAGTCCAGAAGTGAGAAATGCTGGAGAGGGTGTTGAGAAAAGGGAATCCTCCTACGCTGTTGGTGGGTATGTAATTTGGTGCAGCAGTATGGAAAACATTATGGAGATTCCTTAAAAAACTAAAAATAGAGTTACCATATGATCCAGCAATTCCCCTCCTGGGCGTGTATCTGGAGAAAACTTTTAATTCAAAAAGATACATGCACTCCAATGTTCATAGTAGCACTATTTACAATAGTCAAGACATAGAAGTAACCTAACTGTCCCTTGACATATGATTGGATAAAGAAGTTGTGTGTATATGTATGTACACACACACACACACACACACACACATACACACACACACTGGAATACTACTCAGCCATAAAAAGAATGAAATAATGCCACTTGTAGCAACATGGATGGATGTAGAGATTATTATCCTAAGTCAGACAAATATCATACGGTGTCATGTATATGTGGAATCTAAAGAAATGACACAAATGAACTGACTTACACAACAGAAACAGACTCACAGACATAGAAAAGAAAACTACGGTTACCAAAGTGGAAAGGGAGGAGAGGGATAAATTAGGAGTTTGGGATTAGCAGATAGAAACTACTATATACAAAATAGATAAACAACAAGGTCCTAATGTATAGCACAGAGAACTGTATTCAATAGCCTGTAATAACCTATAATGAAAAAGAACATGAAAAAGAATATTTATGTGTATAACTAAATCACTATGCTGTATACCAGAAACTAACACAATATTGTAAATCAACTATACTTCAATTAAAAAAAATTCATCACCATACACAGTTACAAAAATTTTTTTTCTTATAAGAACTTTAAAGATTTACTGTCTTAGCAGCTTTCAAATACGCAATACAATATTATTAACTGGAGTCAACATACTGTACATTACATCCCCATGACTTATTTTATAACTGGACATTTGAACCTTTTTACCCCCTTTATCCATTTTGTTCACCCACCAACTCCCACCTCTAGCAATCACTAATCTGTCTTTTGTATCTATGAGCTTATTTTTTTTTGATTCCACATACAAGTGACATCATGTTGTATTTGTCTTTCCCTATATGACTTATTTCATTTAGCATAATGCCTCATGGTCCATCCATGTTATTGCAAATGGAAAGATTTCATTCTTTTTTTACGATTGAATAGTATTCTAATACATATGTGTATGTATATATCTATCTCACATCTTCTTTATCCATTCATCCAGTGATGGACACTTGGGTTGCTTCCATCTTTTTAAAAATACATATATATATATTTTGTTGCAGTATAGTTGATTTACAACGTTGTGTTAGTTTTAGGTATAAAGCAAAGTGATTCACTTATATATACAAATATATATATATATCTATTCTTTTTCATATTCTTTTCCACTATATAATTCCCTGTGCTATATGGTAGGTCCTTGTTTCCACATCTCAGCTATTGTAAATAATACTGCAATGAACATGGAAATGCATATATATTTTCAAATTCATGTTTTTGTTTTCTTTAGATAAATACCTTGCTCCAATTTAAAAAAATAATTTTTGATTTTATTTTTAAGCCCGGCTTTCTGGGGTTGCTCCTTGGTTGGCATAGCTTAGCAGCTGGCCAGACTGGTCAGCTACTGTGTTTAAACACCTTCAGCCAGTAGGGCTTTTACCCTTTGCCAATGGATCTGTGTATTTGGGAAATGACATTCAAAGTTTAAGCACTGTACAAGTTCTTTACAGCTTTCACTTTCTGTGCCTGCAAAGTTTCACATTCATCCAAGGACAAGTAGTTCACTAAGGCTCTCTCCAGTCTCTTTTGAGTGTAAACACATAGCCTTTCAGACCCTCAGGGATATCTGGGAGCGTTTCAAGGCTGACTTTGGCTGTCTGGATCCCCAGATCTCACTGATAATTCTTTTTTAACCTTTCTACTGGTATACCCAACCAGTGT